TAGTTTTACATCTGATTAGCTTTCTTCTCGTATCCATTTTCTTTAACAAATTCATGTTATTTAGTCAGTCAATTTTAGTTTAATAACTTCTTGTCCACCAAGTCTCTAATATGACTTCTCTGAATGGACGAATTGACGGTCGGAATTTTTTCGTAAGATGGCAGGTCAATGGGTAAAGAAAACGCTTAAATTCACTATGGTAATGATATTTTTAAATAAATTGGGCCAAAAAGTGTCAAAAATAAAGGTTAAAGTTGCTAAAAAGTCACGTGACTGCAAAAAGCTCTGTGATTGGTTGGGGTGAGCTTCCCAGCGGGAGGCAGCCAGTTGAAGTTGTCCAACCTTCTCGGATATGTAAATAAATATTATTAGATAATTTATTGTGCTTTATTGTGCAACACAGTAATACTATTTTGAATATATTAATATTACTACGCACATAAACTAATTCAATGGATATTAGCTGGCCATACAACAAATTTCATAATATAAATATTCCAAACAATATTGGTATTATTTTGGTTTTTGTCATCTGGGGAACCTTAAGATTCGAACTATGGGATTACGTACTTTAAACAATAAGACACATTATCTCTACGGGAATTTTGTCACAAAATTTTTTTCGGTAGCATAAGAAAATACCCTGTATAGATATGTTAGGTTAGGTTAGGGTATGATGAGTTATAAGGTTAGCTTAACATACATCGGTAAGGGGGGTAGTAACTCAAAACTAGTGATTTTCGACAGAAATGACGGTCTAAATCGTTCATAACATCGTAAACCATCAGAAAAATAACATTCTGTGTCTCCGTACAGGGATGACCAAAACTTAAAATTTACCCAATATAGTCTATTTCGAATCTAAACATCCAAATACTCATGGTAATTAAAGTAAAATTTTACCCATTAACATAAATGATGATATATCCCAGCGGTTCATCAGTGAATCATCAAAACAATAACAGCACTATGTTGTCATGTTTACCTTGCACCAGGTATTCTCAAAACAAAGTCCAGACAATGTCATTACTTCTAAATTTACTCATATCTACATCTAGTACTGATATACTCTGTAAATGCACTGAAAAAAAAGAAGAGAAAGTACATGACAGCTGAGCTGGTGTGAACTTGGGAGTTTTTTATGTCCAAAAGAACATAAGAATGGAGGAAACTGCAGTGGACCTATTGGTCCATACTGTGCAGTCCCATTTACACCCAACCCTTATCGCTCACATATCCATCCAACCTATGCTTGAAGCTGCTCTCCACGGCACATTTTTTCACTTACGAAATGTCCATGACGTAGACCATAAAAAAACACCCTTAAAACTTACTTGAACGTGGCATTTGGGGTCTGAAGAGGCCACCTTTTCTACTACCTCCAACTGCAGCGATGAGTTTGAAACTAGTGACATCATTGTAAATGGTGGCCCGGTTTCTAGAGAAATAAACTTATCTCGGCTATTATAGCAGGACTTTAAACTTTTATTACAAATTATATATACCCCATCACTCTACAAACGTGGCAGAGTGTATTTCTTGTGTTTACCCAGAACCGTCAACTCGTCCATTCACCTCATTGTTGTTCTCTTTCTTGGCTAACCTACACAAGCATGGAAAAGGTTGTTGATGATGCTAATGTTCTCTTCCTTGTTCTTCAAGTTCTTCGTCCAACAATATTGAAAATCTTTTTTGGTTTTATATCATATTCTCTCCCTGTCTGTTTTTAGCTTCCCTAAATTCCATTTTATTTTATCTTTCATTATCATGGGTTGATTCACATGTACTGTTTAATGATACCTTGGGTAATGTTGAATCTGTGGGTTTGCAGTACAGGGTGTAATATCTTCTTTCCAAAAATTAACTTACCCTTCATTCTCTTATTGCAATTACCCCTGTACTCAACCCTTGTGGTCCTAATTTAGGCGATTCTTTCTCCTTTCCTATTGTTACATTAAGATTGTCTCTTTAAGTCAAATAAGAATTTACCTTTGCATAAAAATTTCCCTTCTTTAGATTTTCATAAAAAACTCATCTTTGTTATTTATTGGTGCATCGTCAACCTGGGTTATTGCAGAGTCCATGGGTTTATTATTCAGTTTAACCTACAGAACTTTATCTTACACTGCCCAGTTTCCCTTTATACAACTCCCCAACACCTGCTTTACAAAAACATCAACATCTATCTCATGTATTTTACCATCTGAACGTATTAAGTGGGATTCTTTGAGACTAAGGGCTGTTTTAACCTGTCCATTGTACTTTAATTAATCCCATAATGTCCCACTACAGCCCAACCTTTTCATCTTCCCGCAAAATTTTAGATATTCCAACCTTAATGTAATGTTCTTAACTCCTGCTTCGTATTTTGAATTTGTGCCGCTCTGTCAAAGGCTCACTGAATTATTGTTAAATGTCCTAGGCTTTATTTTGCTTTGCTCTGTCTTGGTGGCACTTAGCATGCAATCATGGGAGTTAATGCAGTTGAACCCTCAGATTACTCTCATCCCAATTTTTTGTTATAGTAATGTACAGTGACCCCTCCGTTAACGAACTCAATCCGTTCCAGAAGGTCGTTCGTTAACCGAAAAGTTTGTTAACCGAAACCATTGTTTCAATGGGTTTTTGGGTAATTGGTTCCAGCTCACCGAAAATTTCCTAAATTCAACAAAAATGGTAGGAAAGTTCACTTACTTTGAGGTGTGTATGTAGAAGGCTCCTGGATGATGATGATGATGATGATGGGATTTAGAATGGGGGTGGAGGAGAAGGAAGAAGAGAAGGCATTGGGGTGGAAGAGAAGTCACCCCATGGCGCCATTTCACCCATAAAATTTTAGCTCTCTTGGTGTAATTCAAGATTATTTTCTTTAAATCATCACTGCACTGCATTATATATTGTCAATATGTAAAATATATTTCAAAATGACCAATAATTTGCTTGGAAACAGAAAAAAAGCGTTTAGTTGAAGAGAGTCTCAAGCAAGATGTTACCTCCAGTGAAAACAGAGAGAGACTAACGCCTGTTTGCTGTGTTAAGAGGCTGGATGCCGCGCATTAAACTAGTCACTTTACCTTCAATTATGTTCAATAATTGTTAAAATGACTAAAAATTGAATATTAAACTTTTAAAATTATTGAATAGTATAAACTTCTTGATATTTACTAAAATAGTAAGGAATTTAAGCCCTAGAACCGATTAATGTATTGGCGGACTGATACTAAAGCTGGTTGCCTGGTCAGTGCAAGCGAAAACATGTTGAGGTCGGTTCGTAAGAACTTCGTTAACCGAATTTTTTTTCGTTAACCGAATTGAAGATCCTTATGGAAGGCAGTTCGTTAATCGAAATTACGTTAACCGAGGTGTTCGTTAAACGAGGGGTCACTGTATGTCCATGATTATTTTAAAACAAGAAATTAAATTCAGTAAGACAAAAACCTCAGTACTTCCCACCAGAAGAGTTCTGTACTGTATAAAGTTATAGAAAAAGTTAGTAATGAGCTCTGGGGGGTAGAGGTCGCTCATACCTCACTCTGGTAAAGGACCAGCCCATCACGCAGTTTACTGAGCAGGTACTGTACAGCTGTTAGTAAATAATAATACTGTATGCACTAAAAAGAAGGAGAAACTGTGTACAATAATCATAAATTTGGAGAAGGTTTATGTCAGGGTAGAACTGGAGTTACAGTGGGAGGTGATAAAATGTAATGCAAAGAAAGCAGGGAAAAGATTCACTTAGAAAAATAAGGCTTGTGTGTGAGGGTAAATGGAGGATTAACTGATATATTCAAGGTGGAAGCAACGATGAAGCAGGGTTGTGTAGTAGTATCTCTATAGCTGTTCAACATATTTAAGATTTGGGTAATGAGGGAAATGGAGCTGAGGATGGTTTAGGCATTACGGTAGTTACACGTTTGTATGGGAATGATGCATTGCATTTTGTAGAATGAATAGGAATTGGAAGGGATGAAAATAACTTTGAATAGATACTCAGTAGAAAAAACTAAAAGGATATGCAAGAAAGTGTAAACTAGTGGGAGGAGTTTCATTTAGTGAATTTTTGTAAACCATATGAAATGGAAAAACACATGGAATTGAATTGTAAAACTGTAATAATGAATTACTGGAGGAAGTGTAGGAAATTCAAATAATGTGCTGTATGTGGATCTGACACAGTGTAATAATGGTAAGATGGAGAGAGAACAGACACGTAGGAGGAGGTCTCGATAGTTGGAACATATCATTTAGGGAAGAAATTTAGTCTTGTAGGTGAAGATGGAACTGGGAGCTAGTTAACAAAAATATTCCTAGCTTTTATATGTTATAATGACACACAGAGTTGGACTGTAACACGAGTGCTCTAAAATTCAAACTATGGAAAGGAGTTCCTTCAGGACTACATCTGTTCTTAATGGAATGGAAATGGTGTGCAACAGTGAAGTGTATGGGAATCTGTAAATGAATGAGATAGCAAATGATGTGAATTGTGGAATTGGGATACGACTTGTTTTCTGGGATGGTATGGCAATGTGAAGATACCAGAGGATAGTCTAGTGTAGAGATCGTATTGAGGTAATATAGAGGATGTTTCGTGTTGAGGGAGATAGCCTACATCATAGGAGGGAGAAGTTGGAGCATTATGTTAAGACCTTAAGGAGAGAGGGTGAGGAGAATAGTGAAGGTGTAATGTGAATAACCAGGCGGCTCTTTGGTTATGACATGACCCCATGAGTGTGAGGTTTCACAGGTAATATGAAAATATTACCACACTGTATTATGTTGTGTTTTCTGAATGAAGGCTTTATGCCTGAGTGTTTAAACCTTTAGTAGCTTGTATAACACCAGTCAGTATGCTAAGAGATGAGTTGGTGGCTTGAGAGGTGTGTTGTCATGTGTAAGATGAGGTTGTGGTTTGAATGTGGCCAATTACAAAGGGTCACTAGAGCAATTGAATCTAACTAATACACTTCTTGTATTATGTGCATTTAAAAAAATAAAAATATTCTTTTATATTTTATTTACAGTCGTACATTAAGTAACAAATGCTCTTCACAGAAAAGCAAATTCGCAGATGTATAATTTAAACATTATGCATTAATAAGTGCTAATTGAGTGAGACTGTGGTAGGAATAGTATCAATTCAGTGCTCTCACATAATCTAGTTAATGAGACTGGGAGACTCTACATGTTGTTGACAGTAATAGAATACTGTACAGTATTTCTCTGTATTGTACCTATTTAAAAACAGAATTGCACATATGAAAAATCAGTACTGTATAAGGGGGGATGGGATTTTATTTAAAGAAATAATATTTTCTCCCAGAACAATTAACCAGAAACTTTAAGTGGAATGAATGCCAATAATCAATGCAAAAGCACTAGCTAAATACTGTACTGTATTCAAAATACATTTTCACACATTTATCATTATGGTATAAAAAAGCTAATGGATTGAATGCCAAAATCTTAAAACTATTTTAGATATATTTATTACACTGGTTTTAAAGTAATCAACACATATAAATGTACAGGTATTTAAAAAGAGAGAATACTAACCATTTGGAATCACAGATTATTTGGTCAGTGTGCCCAAAGGGAGCTTATACGGTATGTAACTTATAGTAGAGGTTGACCCATGAATTGATATGATAGTATGCTTTAATGACATTCCTCAGTTATATTCTGATTCATTAGAATGATTTACAAGCACTATCAACAGTAGATTATCAGATAACTTTTTGGTGTACAATACAGGTACAGTTACTTGCATCTTTGTTACACGGTAAAATTTGTTTAGTTACATTTTCTGCAAGTGGTTTACAAGAGGGAGTTTAAATTTCTTTGTTTATTACTAATGTAGTTAAACCCTCATGTATTCTGGTTGGTGTTCTTCATAGAGATGTTAAATTTTCAAGACTTGATCATAAGTATTGAAAATTTACTTCTGTGGTGATATTAGTCACACTAAAACGATAAATGGAACAGCATCTCTCTTAAATTACACATCAATAACAAGTTAACATAAAGTCAGTAAATGACAGCCATTTGTATGACTGATAATCACAGATAACCACCTGACAATATCAGCATTATGGGCCACAACCCAAGTTCACATAATTAGTCCCTCTCTCTCAGAGCCACAAAATTTACTTTTACTCACATGAAGGGTAGACTACATTACCCTTCATGAAAAAAGAAATCAGAAGGACTTTATGAGCCCTTGAGCTCTACCAAGCTAAGGATAATTTGTATAATGCATTATGGTAGCAAGTCATGTTCTTCAGTTCTGTGTATGTTCGTCATTAGATCTTCAAGTTGTAGCTTGAATTTAGACTTCAGTAAAGAGTGTAATTGACAGAGTATATCATATTAATATGTCATATTACACGTACAGTACAATACACAGAAAGAAAAAAATTACTAAAATTGTCCTTACTTATTGCTGTCAAAGTTAATGTGACTTGTTTGCTATTTACAAAGGTTTGGCACTTTTATCTAATACCCTGAGGACCTTACAATAAACAAAGGGATAAGTGTCTGATAGCATTTTTATAAGATTTGCAATCCTTTAAAGTAGAGGGAGTAATGCATAAGCGAGGAATTTATTTAAATACTTTATGCTACTTTATATACGGTAATCATTTATTTTACAAAATTAGATCTACTGTATAAGAGATATATCAATAAATCTTGGTCCACCATTAGTGGAATAATGCCACAAATTAAGCTAAGACTATTAATACAAAGTTGAAAGCAACTTCCGACTTTGTAATGGCCCATATTAAGGAGATGCCATCTGTTGGTACAAAATCATTGAATACCATAGTGAATATGGAATAAATCCAAACAAAAATCAGTACAGTATTTAACAAGTGAAATCGTTAACACAGCTTGTAACATCAGCCAAGTGATCAGTAGTTATGGTACATGTTTCACTGATTTACCAGTGCATAAATTGTGAGGCTACAGTATGTACCTGTATTATTTCAGATTATCTTGTTAATAGAAGATGGACCATAAAATATGTAAGTGCTTTGGAGGTTTTTATTAATAATCTGATCTTGAAATGGCATTGGTAATGTTTTCTGCGTTTTGGACTGGCTTGTCTCTTCTGTTTGAAATTAAATTTGCAATACCTTCAGCTGTCAGAAGCAACTTCCCTTTGGTTATGTTGACTATAATCATCAGCCCAAATTCTAAGGTCCACTTTGGCAACTTTTCTTATGCTGATATTAATGACAATGACCTGTATGTACAGTTGAGCAAAAAAAGTTCTTGAATGCTCTAAGTGTCTTAAATGTGACAAACAAATGAGAAATCTGCATATTGCTCTCTGAGGAAGTTTTATTGCAAATTAAATTACTTCTTTTCACCTGTAAATATAAAGTCGAGCAACATATGTTATGATGAAATATTGAGTGTTACTTCACAACCAGGCATACCAACTGTTCTGAAATAACAAGAGCCATACTGCTCATTCTGAAATCTGTTGTGCCCAGCTGTTTGAGAATTTTTTTTGCCAGCTCTACCTTTAGTTATGTATTAAATAATGTGGAACAGATTATATCCTAGAATTTGATGAAAGATGTTCCTCCTAGTCTAACAGGTCCTATCTCATTGTGGAGGATAAAAACTAAAATTGCTAAGCAAATAGCTGTGATGTGCCATGGACATATAAGTCAGATTTGAAAGACATAAATACTATATGTTTAAATTAACCATTCTTTGTGTCAACTCATCAACGTTTGATTGAATTGAGAAAGGGGAAAGTTTATGTCCCAGGCCAGCCTTTGAATTCCAGTTGATCTCATATGTAACTATTCTTTCATATTAACAAAAACACGAAAGATTGAATACCTACAGGTATATTCATAGTCATTATCCGTACAAGTGGATACTATGATAAGTCAATCATAGAAGACTGTTGACTGAAAAGGACAAAGCTGTGTTCTTTCCAGGCTAGGCATTACTTAGAATTGTTTTTTAATAACAGGTGATAAACTAACCAAACCTTTAGCATGCAGGTAAAAGAGGGATTTAATGATACTGTATCCCCTTATTAAGGCTTTAACCTTCTCAATGTAACATTTGGGTGACTGTGTATGTGTGTGTGTATCTTCACTTTGAAGATATTGTCAGATATTCAGGAACTCATTTAAAGTGATTGAAAGTCTTTGGTATAAGAACCAGAGGGCATAAGGCTCTCAGCGATGTTGGCTTCACACCTACATTTTTTGGTACAAGAAAATTTTTTTTTCCCAAACGTACATACATATTCTCAAATACCATCATGGCGATGAAAGAAATGCCTCTTGGTTTACATCCGGTCTGTTACGTTGGCTGTTTGGTGTTTCAGAACCACTGTAAATGGAGAATGAAGAGTATTAATATTTATTCTTGAACAGGGGTGTACATGTACTGTACTGTGCAACTGCTTTATTCACAAGTACAGGTATAGCATTTTGTAATATGATTATACTGTATAAATGTGACAGACATCTTTTTCTTCATGGTCAGAAAATTTATACATTTTTTGAGCCATTACAATTATTTTTCCCCCAGTAATTAAGACAAGTGTGTGAAATTAGCACAACATTATTTTTATAATGACAGTATGTGGTACTGAACCTCTATAGTACTTCACTGTATTATGAGCTATGGCAGGAGGAAAACTTTTACTATTATAGAAATTAATAGAATAATTTGTCATGCAGATAAGATGTGGGTTTTCCACTTACTTTCTATGTAGATGATGAAGCCTGTTATGAGTAAGAGAACAAGGAGAGAGAAAATGGTAGTGATGGCAAAGATAATCCCACAGCTGCACTGGTGGCACTTGGGGCGTGGTCTGACTGGCCGGTAGTTGTCTAGTGCTGTGAAGGTGGGCGGGGGATTGACTGATGAACATGTTGATGAACATTCGTCCTGCTGAGGTGGAAATTGATTAGTTTTTTATCCTATTAAATTTTTTTATTTATCTGATAGTTTTTTATCCCTTTTAGTTTTTCGTTATACTGTACTATATGTTTTTTGTCACTTTTAAAGTGTTTTTATACTGTACTGTATATTGAGGTACAGCACAATGCAGTTCTACCATTAGACTAAATAATTTCTTGACATTCTATTCTGTACTGCACTTACTATTTTCTCAAATTATTTCATTACCCTCTGCCTATTAACTTGACTTGTTCCCTAACAAGGTTAGTGTGCAATCCATACAGTTTTTTAATTATGTGTAGAGTGGGAAGCATATGTCTTGAGGACACAATATTTCAAATGTTATGCATTTTTATCCCCTTCTCCTTCATAAAATTCACAATATCTCTTTTTTATTAAAATGTCTGTATTACATTACATCTGTAGTAAGATAACATTGTACTGTATTTACTAATATATGATCGTAATATCAGTATTGTACATTCTATGTATACTTTGGTTGCTATGTATTACCTTCCACTGGCAGTCTGTACAGGGCTGTGTATCATATACACAACCTTTGTTTGAGCACCAGAGTGAAGCTCGAGGAATGTGCCAATAAGAGTCGTATAGAGTGCCAGCCTCCGGCTGTTTGCCATCCTTCCTGAGGCTATTGGTATATCTGGTCTCGAAACTTCTTGGCATCTCTGGAGTTGGTGGCTGGAGCATGATTCTGGGGTCGAAACTTCTATTGTCTGGACGAAGTTTTGGGCGGACCATGTATCTAGATTCAGATTTCTTGGAGGTTTTTGGAGATGCTGGGCGTATTGTGTAGCAAGAATCATATTTGGAGTATTCTGAAGAGGGGGGACCTAACATGAAGTTAGGTTCATATCTGGAGGCTTCAGGTGTAGGTGTTCTTACAGAATGGTGTGCTCTTTCATTACGGCTCCTTCCCATGCTCATGACACTCATGCGGTTGCTGTGTACGGGAGTGGCATCACGAAGCATGTATTTGGTGGAGCCATCTGAACCTGAACTCATTGTGGCACCACCAACAATGAAATTTCCAGATCCAGCCTGTAGAAGAGAGATCACATGCTGTTCAGTATTGTACAGTACCTGTACTCTATTCACATTTAGGATGAATTTTGAAAAATATCACTTACCGGTATGTAGTTCTAAAGAAAATTAAGATGATGTTTAGGTAATGGTAAAATAAGTACAGTACAGTATACACTTGTATTATGGATCACTAAGTTGTTCCACTTCTGTTATATGGGAATAGTGGTTATAACATATGGAATTAGCAATACAGTACAGTAAAAGGTTCTAAGAAATTAATATATTTTAGCCATATAACATTATTACCCCTTGCATTTGAAGTACTGTACTGTACCTGTACATAAAAATAGGCAAACAATGAAAATTGTGTTGGGTGACTTCAGTACATGAAAATTACTTGGTCTAGTGTTAGTCATTTCTGATGAGTAAATTCACCTTAAAGGAATTTTTTTATTTATAATTTCTGACAGGCAAATTTAATTTTGCATTCCACTTTTAACAGAATGTTTTCAATAAGAGCAGGCTCTAACATCATTGTCTTTGATTTATTAAACAACCATGTGAAAGGAATAACTGGAACAGTTCAGTACTGTATTGTAGTTTGTTTACTACAGTACTGTACTGTAGTTTGTTTACTAAAGACTCGTCCAATTTTGGGATATAAATGGGTACGCTATAATATGTACCAGTCTATATACAGTATATTCATACACATGATTCAGTGGTGCTAATTAATGCTGTCAGTGAGATTATCAGTACACCACTCGAGGAGGAGAAGGTAATTATGGTTGGTAGAATGAGCAAAGCCAGCTGTCTCATTACCTGTTGCTCCTTTAACCACCTATGATGTGTTGATGGGATACACACACACAAGGAAGTACAGTATAGTATGTACTGTATTGTATATGCATGCATGTTTGCAATTAGTTTTTTGTATTAATGTTATACTCTATTAGGTTTGGTAAAGTTAATTTAGAGTTAGGTTAAGTTACTTTAGAGTCATTTTGTTATACAGTACTGTATTAATACATAGATCAGTGGTAGTTACCATAACACCTCCTCCCCCCGCCCATGATTAAAACTTGTTATAGTCTCAGCACAGGTCCAACACACCATAATTAAATGTTTTCCAAATTAAGTTGAGCAAGAGACTGAAAGTGCGATAGGACTGTGTGTGTGTGTGTGTGTGGTGGCTCCGGGTCATTATTGTAGACCACAGCACCTCGTCTGGGAAAGTTTGGCTTTGGTGGTGTCTAGTCCCTTTAGGGCATGTGGTGATATGTGCTCTCTTCCTGATGCAACTGTTGTTGCTCCTGTGATTACTGTTGCTGTTGTGAATGGTGTGGTTAGTACTATGGTGTGCTGCTGTGATTGGTCCTGTGATTACTGATGCTACTGCTGTTGTAACTGGTGTATCTGCTACTGTTGTGACTGGTGTATTTGCTGCTGTTATGATTTCTTGTGTGATTACTGTTGTTACTCCTGTTGTGACTGGTGTGGCTGCTGCTGTTGTTACTGGTGTGGCTGCTGCTGTGGTTACTGTACTGTTACTACTGCTGCATTAGGTTACTAGATTAGGTTAGTTAATTTAGAGTTAATTAAGGTTAATTTCTGGTTAGTTTGTTTTATTAATATTAAACTGTGTTAGGTTTGGTTAGGTTAAGTTCCCTGAGAAGACAGTACTGTACATGAATGATGTAAAATATTTGATCACATTGTACAGTATATCTCTTTGGAAAGATGCACAAAAATATTACTTGATTAACAATCCTGATTATACACAGGTGCATGGGAATTTCACTCATAATAATCTCTCTCGACACATAAACGTTACTTTTGTTATACATATAATTTTTATCAAGTATATAAACCCCCTGTGTATGGATAACGCTAATTTGTACAGTAGACATAACACCTCACTGTAGGCTTAAACACTATCATTTATGTATTTGCACACTTGAGCTACCTGACAATTCAGATAGTGGTAGATGCATCTCATACAAGCTGGTGCACAACTTCCTGGAAATAATGTGGAGGGTCCTTGAGCATACCACCAAGACACTATAAATACATATGGTGGATCCCGCCAAGTGTTTAGGTATGCGACACGCCAGCAACCACTGCAGTTCCTCCGTCATTTTAGGCTGTTATTGTACTTTCCTTTTCTATGCAAGTACGGAGATATTAATCATAATGTTGCCTGGAAAATGGCGGGATTTCATTGTTGTTAATTAACTGACTGCGGTTACTGAATTGTATGGTGAATACTCTGCACAGACACGTGTGTGTAACTAGGCGCCTCTAGTGTTAAGACACAGATAAACTTGGTGTGGTCTGGGTGTTCGTTGTTCCGGGCCTTCCACAATGGTCTATTGATTTCATTTCCGCTCAGCTTTCTCCCCTCACTGTGGCTATTTGTCATTGTTCGTTTGTCTCTCTACTGTGTTTAGTCGGTCTGTACCAATGTAGCTACACACACACACACACACACACACAGTTTGTAAAGAGTTTCGTGTTTATAAATTTGATTGTAGGACTATACTAATTAAAAAGTAAGTTTTGTCATCTGCGGTAATGATCACTTTTATTTGGTTGGTTGTACATGATCATTCCCACATTTTGTTTGTACACTTCAAAAACGAGTATAGAAGACGAGTCATTAACAACCACGATGGCAGACGTGCTACAGTAACTCAGGTCATGCTAGGGTACAGTAGGTCAGGTCAGGATATTTTTGGTTAGCTTAGGTTAGGTGAGGTTATTTTTGTTTAAGTCAGGTTAGGTTTGTTTAAGTCAAGTTTGGGTTGTTTAGGTCAGGTTAGGTTTGTTTAAGTTAGGTTAGGTTTGTTTAAGTCAGGTTAGGTTTGTTTAAGTCAGGTTAGGTTTGTTTAGGTCGGGTTAGGTTAGTTTTGGTCTGGTTAGGTTTGTATACTGTACTTAGGTTAGGTTATGTCAAGTTAGTTTAGGTCTGGTTAATTTATGTCAGGTTGAGTTAGTTTTGGTTAGGTTAATTTGTCAAGTTTGGTTAGGTTATGTCTGGATAGGTCAGGTTTGGTTATTTTTGGTCAGGTTATGTTATTTTTAGTTAGGTTAGGCTCAGCTTTGAAATCAGCTAATGCTCATGAAGTAAATTTTGATACTGTAGTTATGGTCCAGTGTATGAACCTACAGTACTTCAGGTACATACTTAAACACCTTAGATATTTGGGGATACAGAAATACGTGTGAGCCACAACAGCCGGTATATATCCCTGTGTGTCTCCAACAGCCGGTATATATCCCTATGTGTCTCCAACAGCCAGTATCTATCCTTATCTATCTCCAACAGCCAGTATCTATCATTATCTATCTCCAACAGCCAGTATCTATCATTATCTATCTCCAACAGCCAGTATCTATCATTACTGTATCTATCTCCAACAGCCAGTATCTATCATTATCTATCTCCAACAGCCAGTATCTATCATTACTGTATCTATCTCCAACAGCCAGTATCTATCATTATCTATCTCCAACAGCCAGTATCTATCCTTATCTATCTCCAACAGCCAGTATCTATCCTTATCTATCTCCAACAGCCAGTATCTATCATTATCTATCTCCAACAGCCAGTATCTATCCTTATCTATCTCCAACAGCCAGTATCTATCCTTATCTATCTCCAACAGCCAGTATCTATCATTATCTTTCTCCAACAGCCAGTATCTATCATTATCTATCTGTCTGTATCTCCAACTCATAACCTTGTCACCAGTTATTGTGTATTGTTGTGGTGGTGAGGGTTGTGTTGTGATGATTGTAGTGGTTGTGTTGTGATGGTTGTGGTGGTGAGGGTTGTGGTGGTGAGGGTTGTGGTGGTGAGGGTTGTGTTGCGAGGGTTGTGAGGGTTGTCGTAGTGATGGTTGTCGTAGTGCTGGTTGTCGTAGTGCTGGTTGTGGTGAGGGTTGTCGTAGTGATGGTTGTGGTGAGGGTTGTCGTAGTGATGGTTGTGGTGAGGGTTTGTCGTAGTGCTGGTTGTCGTAGTGCTGGTTGTCGTAGTGCTGGTTGAGGTGATGGTTGTCGTAGTGCTGGTTGTCGTAGTGATGGTTGTGGTGAGGGTTGTCGTAGTGATGGTTCAGGTGATGGTTGTCGTAGTGATGGTTGTCGTAGTGATAGTGAGTGTTGTGTCGTGTGGTAAACAAAAGCAGGAGTAAATCACCGCCCAGGCTTCATCGTCTCGTTCTTCTTTCTTCAGGGGATAATAACGCATTAACTGAGGCAGGTCTTACCAACTTCCTGGAATGGCTAGTGTGTTGACGCTTCTGTGTGGTGAATTGTGTTGACGCTTCCTTGTGGTGAGTTGTGTTGACGCTTCCTTGTGGTGAGTTGTGTTGACGCTTCCTTGTGGTGAGTTGTGTTGACGCTTCCTTGTGGTGAGTTGTGTTGACGCTTCCTTGTGGTGAGTTGTGTTGACGCTTCCTTGTGGTGAGTTGTGTTGACGCTTCCTTGTGGTGAGGTTCCTTGTGGTGAGTTGTGTTGACGCACGCTTCCTTGTGGTGAGTTGTGTTGACGCTTCCTTGTGGTGAGTTGTGTTGACGCTTCCTTGTGGTGAGTTGTGTTGACGCTTCCTTGAGTGGTGAGTGTTGACGCTTCCTTGCTTGGTGAGTTGTGTTGACGCTTCCTTGTGGTGAGTTGTGTTGACGCTTCCTTGTGGTGAGTTGTGTCAACGCTTCCTTGTGGTGAGTTGTGTCAACGCTTCCTTGTGGTGGTGAGGGTTGTGTTGACGGTATTGTGTGGTGAGGGTTGTGTTGACAGTGTTGTGGTGAGGGTTGTGTTGACAGTAATGTGGTGGTGGTGAGTGTTGTGTCGACGCTTCCTTGTGGTGGTGAGTGTTGTGTTGACAGTATTGTGGTGGTGAGTGTTGTGTTGACAGTATTGTGGTGTGAGTGTTGTGGACAGTGTTGTGGTGGTGATGTGCTGACAGTATTGTGGTGGTGAGGTTGTGTTGACAGTGTTGTGGTGGTTGTGTTGACAGT